TAAGTTTATCATCATGACATATGTTGGGGTATTTTCAATTTGAACTGCCGGCTTCATCTAGCATAGCCTATAGTCTATGAAGCGACTCCTAAACCTTTATAATTTTTCGAAATAAAACAATATGAAATACCTAACAGCCAGAATAATTTAATTTAGTATTTTTAGCCATTATTCATATAAAACAGAGTGAAAAGCAAAGGGACGGTATCAAGACCACAAGCTCGATAATGTGTTGGAGCGCTAAACAAGAGGCTGGGTTTAGAAATGGTAATGTTTAGGTTGAAATATAAATGTTAAAAATCTGTTGTTTTGATCTGACTCGCTGTACAGTTATAGGATTATTGAAGTGGAGAGTAAAGCTGACTCGACTGATCTCCGTCTCTTGTTTCCTCATTTATTGCACTCCACATTGGTGACCCCGTCGTGAGTTGGATACGGCTGAATTATGTCACACAACGGCGGTGGCGAAAATGCTGCTGTGGCGCCGGACGCCACTAGCAGCGCGGCTAATGTCGGCGCTATCTACGCAGCCATCATCAAGTTAACGGACTTTTGGCAGCACAATCCATGGCCGTGGTTTCAACACATCGAGGCCCAGTTCCAGCTGAGAGGAATAACACAGGACGTTACAAAGTATTTCCACATGGTAGCGGCCTTAGATGCCTTCGACGACAGCCAGGGCTATGGCGCTGTTAGAGGCTCCTCCGGCTGACGGCAAGTACGACGCACTCAAAACATTCCTGTTGAACCTCTTTGAACTGTCGGACCTGGAGAAGGCAGATCGCCTGCTGTCCCTTAACGGCCTTGGCGACAGCAAGCCATCCGAGTTAATGGAGAGGATGCTAGCGGTGCTGGGCGCGGTGGATCCCTCGTTCCTCTTCGCCCACATTTTCCTGCGGCAGCTTCCAGCACCCGTGCGCACCGCACTGGCTAGCTTCCCCCTCCCTTCCTCCAGAGACTACCGAGCGCTGGCTGTGGAGGCAGACAGGATTCCCCCCAACCCCCCGGCGCACGTCTGCCCCTTTTCCACCCACGGAGGACGACCCGGACACCGCAGCTGCTGTGACGGCCCGCCGACAGCGTGGGGACGGGTGGTGTTATTACCATTCCAGGTTTGGGGCCAAGGCCAAGCAGTGTCGCCAGCCTTGCAGTTTTGGAGCCCAGGGAAAAGCCAGGGCCGGCACTCACTAGCAGCAACGGGTGCTGGCCGTAACTGCAAGCTGTTATTCATCATGGACACCTTGTCCGGCCGGCGACTGCTGGTCGATTCTGGGGCTCAGCGCAGCATCCTGCCGGCGAAGCCAGTGGACACCATGGCTGGCGGGCATGGCCCCCCGATGGACGCCGCCAACGGCACACCCATTCGTACCTATGGCACAAGGTATGTGGAAGTGTGTTTCGGCAGGCGGCGTTTCGGCTGGGACTTCGTCATGGCCGCCGTGTCTACGTCGCTCCTGGGGGCGGATTTCCTCTGCGCTTACAGACTGTTGGTGGATGTTACAAACCGCCACCTGATCGACGCCCTCTCTTTTGCCTCGTACCCCTGCACGCTGGGAGGGATGGGGGCGCTTTGTCTGTCAAACACGCTTGCCACCGGGGACCTGTATCAACGCCTACTTGCTGAGTTCCCTGACATAACCACGCCCACGTTTTCATCGGCGGTGGCTAAGCATGGCGTGGAGCACTACATCACCACGGTTGGCCCCCCAGTCTATGCACGAGCTCGGCGTCTCGACTCTGCCAAGCTTGCGATCGCCAGGGAGGAGTTCGCCACCATGGAGCACCTCGGCATCGTGCGTAGCTCCAACAGCCCGTGGGCTTCCCCCCTGCACATGGTGACCAAGGCTGATGGCGGTTGGCGTCCCTGTGGTGATTTCCGTCACCTGAACAACGCCACCACCCCCGACCGGTACCCTGTGCCACACATACAGGACTTCTCCGCCCACCTAGCCGGCGCCACAATTTTCTCGGTGGACCTGGTGCGTGGTTACCACCAGGTGCCTGTCCACCCGCAGGATGTCCCCAAGACAGCAGTCATCACACCCTTTGGCCTTTTCGATTTCCTACGGATGCCTTTCAGCCTCAAGGGTGCAGCACAGACGTTTCAACCCCTCATGGACTCTGTGCTGAGGGAAATGCCATTCCTGTTTGTTTACTTGGACGACATTCTCCTGGCTAGCACGTCCTCAGACGAACACCTGATGCATCTCCGGCAGCTGTTCGGCTGGCTCAGTGAGCATGGTCTCATCATCAACCCGGCCAAGTGTGAGTTTGGCCGGTCGTCCATCACTTTCCTTGGCCACCACATCACCCCGCAGGGGGCCGTCCCCCTCCCGTCCAAGGTGGACGCCGTCGCCAAGTTCCCACGCCCACGCATTGTGAAGTCCCTGCAGGAGTTCCTGGGCATGGTGAACTTCTACAACCGTTTCCTCCCCCATGCGGCCCATTGTACAACGCCTTGCGGGGTGGGAGGCCGGCGGACGTGTTGGATTGGTCCCCGGAGATGAATGGTGCTTTTGATGTTGCCTAAACTGCGCTGGCCAACGCTGCTCTGCTGGCGCACCCGTCTCCGACCGCCCCAGTTGCTCTTACTACGGACGTGGGGGCTGTGTGTGAACAGTGGGTGGGCGGAGCCTGACAGCCACTGGCCTTTTTCAGCAGGAAGCTTCGGGACAACGAGAGGAAATACAGCGCCTTCGACAGGGGTCTTTTCCTGGGTCTTTTCCTCGCCACCCGTCATTTCCGTTTCCTGTTGGAGGGCCGACGGTTCACAGCTTTCGTTGACCACAAGCCGCTGACGTTTGCCATGGCCAAGTCTTCGGAGCCATGGTCTGGTCGACTGCACGCGTCCCGGGGGAATTTCTTCCCGATGCCATGGCCCCGTGGTCGGTTGCCTCCCATCGTGCTGTGTCTTGGAACATTGCTGACGCTTTTGTTCCCATTCCAACGTCTCACCATGGCCTCCCCCAGTCCTACGTGCCCAAGGATTTACTGTCAGCCAAGTATGTCTTCATCCGCCACGATGGCCACCGTACCCCACTGTGGCCCCCCTACGATGGGCCCTTCCGTGTCCTGGTGGGAGGGTGGATATTGGCGAACCGCTTCAGCTGGCCCTGCCCCCACGGCGAGGGCGCCCCCCTGCGGCAGCCTCAAACCATGCCCCGGCCCCGCCCCTTGCCCCTCTCCTGTTAAGCTCAGCCGGTATGGCCGCCCGGTCCGCCCCCCTACACGTTGACTTTTCTAGGTACTGTTATGAGCTGGGCTGTTCTGTTTTGCACTAGTGGATAGTGTCCTATGTTCTATTTGGGGTACCTGTTCGGTCTGGCCCTGTTATTTATGGATGAATTCTGGGGGGGCCTGTGTGGTGACCCACAAGAGAGACGTTCACCGAGGGACTGTACCTTTAAGGGAGAGGTTAAGATACAGAAGTTCCGGGTTAACGTTGTGTGGTTGTTTTGATCTGACTCGCTGTACAGTTATAGAGTTATTGAAGTGGAGAGTAAAGCTGACTCGACGCATCTCCGTCTCTTGTCTCCTCATTTATTGCACTCCACAATGTCATCTTTTTAGGCATTTTGATGCGAGTCATTCTATTGACGCCAGAGGAAAATACGCTTTTAGCGTCTGTGTATTGATGCAAAAACCCTAGAAATTAAATTTAGCATATATACATTTTAAAAAACAAGTTTTATATAATTTATAATATTTTTATTAAAATAATAATCTTGTATAAGGAAAATTAGTTTGTATCTGCTAATTCTATTAAGCAGTGTTAAAATAAAATAAAAGAAGAAACCACATCTTCCATATTTCATTTTTGGTTTAAATAAGGAAAAAGTACACGGACCTAAAAGGGCACCAAACCTATGATAAGGTAATTACAGATATCAAAAAATAATTTCTTAGTAGTAAAATGTTTATTTCTGATATGTGAAATAGGAATTTCAAATAATAAGAAAATATTGATATCTGTAATTAAATTTGAGTGGCAGCTTATTGTGATATTTAACTTAAATACAATTACAGAATAATAGCTTTTACTAGTTGAAATTAAAATTTTAAAATGCAATTCATAGCCTATCCTGTGAATGATTAAAAGTCAAAACAGCTTGCTTTAGTGGTGTAATCCTGCTCCCGGCCACTGCAAAACACTTTTATACAAGTCCTGTTTAGTGAACACTAGGGCTGCATGATTAATCGTATTTTAATCGTGATAATGATTTCTGCTTCTCTTAATTAATTAAAAATAATCATTGCAATATTGGCCTGCTGTTGGTGGTTTGTGTTTTTCACTTGTACCACATGACCTCTGCAGATTCACTATGGCATAGAAATGCATAATTTCTAGTCTGAGGATGCGAACATCTCCGAGTTAAATGTCAGGGTTGTCATCTCATAATTATAGTATTTACATCATGACGTGAATTAAGTCACATGCGTTTCAATCCAAATGTGGAACTTACTATACAGTATGTAATTTTGGATGCAGCTAGTTCTGGAAGTAAAAAGTCCATTAATTTTATTCATAGGGAAATGTATTTTTAACAATAACTTATGAATTTATAATTTTATAGCTGGACCACGATCACAGAGCTGAAAGCGTTTAGGCGGAACAATTTTAGTCGGGAGAAAATGGACGTCTTTCATTTAACCCTTCACATTCCAGCACAAAATGAATGCATGCTTACAGTCGACTATGGAGGGGAAGAGTTTCAGCGGACTAAATGTTTGTAGAAGTCCAGCATACATCACCAGTTTTGAGAATGGAGTTTTCACTAGAAGATTGAGTTATGTCATTTTGATTAAACATTACAAGGTCAAAAAATAGTACACAGAAAGTGTTCTTGTAAACATGTATGCCAGATCACACACAGAACTATGAACAGAACTGCAGAACAGCATACACTAATTCTTCCTTCCTAATGCTTATCAGTTTTTCTTTATTATATGAATACATTTTAACAATTTGCTTCATATTTTTTTTTTTACATTTTACCTAGTGAGAGTGAAGGAGAACAATCTTCTTCCCATTCTGCTGGATGAGTTTCCGCAGGTGCAGCTCTCTCCTCACACTCTGTCCCGCATGTGGAAACAACAGCTCAGACAGATTGACCAGCTCAACTCCTCAAAAAACCAGAGCAGACACATACTACCCAAACGTTTAAACCAAGTGAGCGATCTAACACACAAACTCAGTTTTTATTGCACATTAGACTGCTAAATTTAAATTCAGTAGTTTTATTGGCCCGTTTACATTTAGAATTATCAGAATACTGTCAGCATGCCAATTAAAACACCGTCTATATAATATCAAAAATAAAAATGGCTAAAAGTAATATAGATAGATAGATAGATAGATAGATAGATAGACAGACTTGTGCACTATATTTCAAGCCTTCTGAAACATTAAAATGGCATAATGTTTTGGCAAAAGATAACGCGTTAACGTATGTTAATTTTAAACTGTCTTGGCTAACCACTTCTGATCAGTGTGCCCAGCTCCACAGGTTTCAGCACTGAATGCAATGGGTTTACTTATTTTGTTTTTGTAGCTGGAAGAAGCTCAGAAAAGACATGACATGCTGGTGCAGATCATCCGCAAAGAACAGGAACACAACAGTCGTCTGGTAAGAGCAAACTCTTAACAAAGATCCATAAAGACATGATCTCACAAAATTAAAAGATCTCAATGAATCTGAATCTTATGTTTCAGAGAGTGTTCAGAGAGAGCATCCAACAGCAGAAGTTTGCTCAGAATAAGCTGAGAGAACAGCGACAACAGTTTGCTCGTGCTAAAAAATACTACAGTATCTATCACGTTCAGCTACGTGCCAAACTGATGCAAGCAAAGACACAAGAGGAGCGAGTAAGTCCCAAATCCACACCTACTATTACTGATGCTAGCTAAAACACACCTGTTAAAACACACCAGCGACGACTCAGGAGGCTGCTCAGAATCCAGCCGTGCTGCTCATGTTAATATTATTTATATTATGTATGATTTATAAATATAATTTTTTCAGGAACAAATTTATTTAGTTTGACAGCTTAAAAAAAGTCCATGCCACATGTAAGAAAATTGCATAATACAGTCATGTCCAAAAGGTTTGGCAGTAACATAAGTTTGCTGCTTCAATATTTGTAGATTATTTTTTCACATGTTTCTGTGGTATGTTGGTAAATAATAAGCGGTCCCACTTTATATTAAGTGGCCCTAATACCTGTGAACTTACATGGTTACTAGATATGTACTTAGTATGTAACTACAGTGTAAATACACAGTGGTACATAGTATTTACAACTGTAATATTTGTGTAACTACACATATGTAACAACCCACAGAAAGGTATGTGTAAGTACAAATGTGTAACAGGAGATTGGTAACAACACTTTTTCCACTACAGTAAGTACACATGTGTAACAGGCATTTTGTAACAACAATATGTATTCACACAAGTTGTTCCACTTCCACACGCAGTCTTCCATACTGTAGTTACCAGTTAAGAACACACTGAAACCATGATGATTCCTATGTGTATACCATGTATTTACTATATGACCGGCAGGACTTATGTTGAATTACAGCTAAAGTTTTCCCTTGTGGTACCAGTGTACATACATGGTAACTCCTCACGAACTCTGCACTTGATACAATGTGTTAAACTGTCATAACTTACATGTATTATGCAAAACCCAAACCTCTGTGCAACTGTACTAACAGTGTACTTACATGGTAACTCCTCAGGAACTGTCCACTTAATATAAAGTGTAAAATGGTCATAACTTACTGTGTATTATGCAAAACCCAAACCTCTGTGCAACTGTACTAACAGTGTACTAACATGGTAACTCCCCAGGAACTGTCCACTTAATATAAAGTGAAAAATGGTCATAACTTACTGTGTATTATGCAAAACCCAAACCTCTGTGCAACTGTACTAACAGTGTACTAACATGGTAACTCCTCAGGAACTGTCCACTTAATATAAAGTGTAAAACGGTCATAACTTACTGTGTATTATGCAAAACCCAAACCTCTGTGCAACACTGTATTAACAGTGTAACTTACTTACATGGTAACTCCTCAGGAACTGTCCACTTAATATAAAGTGTAAAACGGTCATAACAGAGACCATCTCAGCAAACCCAAACCTCTCATAGTTTTATTAACAATAGCATTAAAATATATTTTGAGCCACTAATCCTACTCATACCCCTAAACCTACCCATAACCATTCCTTAAAACCACGTAGGCTACACTTATGAAGAAAATAAAAACATAACAGACAGACAAGTAACGTTATAAATTTCACAATAGTTTGTTTATTGCGAAAATGTCAAAACCGGTACCAAAAGTCGTTCACATGATGATGCGTTGCAGCCGCAGTCCTCTCTGGCAGTATTATAATAGTTGTGTATGAGGTACAGATCAGAATATAAATTATTAATTCATGAAAATGTTAATCCGGTTTCGGTTCGCTCTGTGAAGGCGCGCGCGCTTCTCCATTTCAAATGTACTACACCGACTGAAACTAGCGCAATCTGTGACGAAGCAGGCGAGAGCCAATGAGCGTTTGACATCACGTCCGTAAAACATGTCGTAACGCTTCTTGAAGGCGCATTTTTTGAATTTGAATTCATCACCAGCGCGCCTGAGCGCGGGATTTGACGTTGGCGGTCGCTGCTGAGAAATGGAGATGAAGATCATAAAGGGCTGAATTTGGATCTGTTTCTTGCAAACAACGTATGGATTCTAAAGATTTGGATTACATCAGGCTAATACAATTGATGTTTTTTGTGAATTTATGTTGTGTTTTATTGGAGAAAACGCTTTTTGTGTCTCACGGTAAATAAACTAAATACTACAAAATGGTTAAACAAGGTATTTTTAAGGTTTTAAAGTGTAGGCTATTCTTGTTTATTGTTTACAGAACACTGTAATTTACTGTAAAGGCAAATAGGTCACCACAATGTCAAATCAAAAAATCTAAAATAAAGAGTAAATCTTTAAAAGTGCTATGCCGTAATATCCCAGAATCTATCAAAGCATAACTATCACATTTATATTTCAGAGTTTACTATCCACTACGTAACCTTGTGTTTTGCATTTACTATGGTACACAACAATGACCCTAACAATTACACTTTATATTAAGTGGACAGTTCCCGAGGAGTTACCATGTAAGTACACTGTTAATGCAGTGTTGCACAGAGGTTTGGGTTTTGCATAATACACAGTAAGTTATGACCATTTTACACTTTATATTAAGTGGACAGTTCCTGAGGAGTTACCATGTAAGTACACTGTTAATACAGTGTTGCACAGAGGTTTGGGTTTTGCATAATACACAGTAAGGCCTTGTCCACACGGACACGGGAAGTTTTATAACCGGAGTTTTTCCTACAGCGTTTTTAAAAAAAATCCCGTCCACATGCTCGGTCTTCGTCTACATGAAAACGCAAAAACACGTATCAAGCGCGGTCAAGAGCATGCCACGCCAGCAGGCGGCGATATAAACCTTAACCGTAAAGCCACGTTGGCCAATCAGAAGCGCAAATCTGACGTCAAACACAGCGGATAACGGCGCACACTCTGACGTCGCAAGGCAAAAACCCCGGTTTCACTGTCTACTAGGGGTGGAACGGTACACAGAAGTCACGGTTCGGTTCATACCTCGGTTCAGACATCACGGTTCGGTACGATTTCGGTACAATGGAGTGAAAAGCAAAGCAAAAATGCAGAAGGCATTTTTATAAATGTCTTAAGCCTTGTATTTTTTTAAATAAGTTTTATTAATAAAGGCATAGAACCAGTTTATTTGTAGTGCACTGACAGTAGTTTTATATAATTAGTTTATTAATTAAATTATTAAAAAGACGAAAAGACCTTGAGATATGTTTGGTAATTGTACCTGAATGAATTTAAAATTAATTTGCTATTTCAGATCAAGATATTTGTTTTCCTTCATTTTAATTAACTAACTTTATTCTCATCTGAATTATAAATAATTGATTTCCGTATAAAATAATACTACCTTAAAAACTTTTGTTAACAGTTGTAGGTTACAGTTTGACAAGAGTTTAGAGTGTGACAAAAGCACAATGTTGTGTTTTATTGCGAGTGTACACAAATATAAGTAAACAATTTGCAGTTTTAATGATGTCCTGTATGAAAAAAATGACGGAGTATGTTTTTACGTTTCCACTGTTCGATCGCCCGTGCCTCTCACACACACACACACACACGCACACGCACACACACACTGTTCATCGCGCGATTCGCGCCCGCGCCTCTCTCTCTCTCGCACGCGCGCACACACACACTGTTCATCGCGCGATTCGCGCCCGCGCCTCTCTCTCTCTCTCGCGCGCGCGCACACACACACACACACACACACAAACACACTGTTCATCGCGCGATTCGCGCCCGCGCCTCTCTCTCTCTCGCACGCGCACGCGCGCGCACACACACACACACACACACTGTTCGATCGCGCCTCTCTCTCTCTCTCTCTCTCTCTCGCACACACACACACACACTGTTCATCGCGCCTCTCTCTCTCTCTCTCTCGCACACACACACACACACACACACTGTTCATCGCGCCTCTCTCTCTCTCTCTCTCTCGCGCACACAGACACACACACACACACACACACTCCTGCATTGCAATCTTGATCGCAGCCTGTTCATTGCTGCGTTCACAGTCACACCAAAAGCGAATAGAGCGAAATGTATCGCTATTTAAGAGGTTTTATTTGTTTGTACCGTGTATTCTGCGTGCAAATTCGTGCACCGAACCGTGACGCCCGTACCGTTTCGGTTCAATACGAATACATGTACCGTTCCACCCCTACTGTCTACACGACAACACTGTAACCGGCGTTTCTGAAAATCCTCACTCTGGCAGGGGTTTTCAAAAATGTTCGGTTTCAGTGCGTTTTCGTGTGGACGAACGGCCGAACCGCGTAAAAAAAGTCACGGTTATAAAAATACCCGTGTCCGTGTGGACAGGGCCTAAGTTATGACCATTTTACACTTTATATTAAGTGGACAGTTCCTGAGGAGTTACCATGGAAGTACACTGTTAATACAGTGTTGCACAGAGGTTTGGGTTTTGCATAATACATGTAAGTTATGACCGTTTTACACTTTTTATATTAAGTGGACAGTTCCTGAGGAGTTACCATGTTAGTACACTGTTAGTACAGTTGCACAGAGGTTTGGGTTTTGCATAATACACAGTAAGTTATGACCATTTTACACTTTATATTAAGTGGACAGTTCCTGAGGAGTTACCATGTAAGTACACTGTTAGTACAGTTGCACAGAGGTTTGGGTTTTGCATAATACATGTGAGTTATGACAGTTTAACACATTGTATTAAGTGCAGAGTTCCTGAAGAGTTACTATGTATGTACACTGGTACCACAAGGGAAAACTTTAGCTGTAATTCAACATAAGTCCTGCCGGTCATATAGTAAATACATGGTATACACATAGGAATCATCATAGTTTCAGTGTGTTCTTAACTGGTAACTACAGTATGGAAGACTGCGTGTGGAAGTGGAACAACTTGTGTGAATACATATTGTTGTTACAAAATGTAGTTACATAATGCCTGTTACACATGTGTACTTACTGTAGTGGAAAAAGTGTTGTTACCAATGTCCTGTTACACATTTGTACTTACACATACCTTTCCGTGGGTTGTTACATATGTGTAGTTACACAAATATTACAGTTGTAAATACTATGTACCAATGTGTATTTACACTGTAGTTACATACTAAGTACATATCTAGTAACCATGTAAGTTCACAGGTATTAGGGCCACTTAATATAAAGTGGGACCCCCTTCTCCA